TTTACAAGTTAAAGTTGAAATGGATGGGTATTTTCCAGTTCCATATTGCTTGCTAGAATGATGACCGCAGGTGGCAGTGGGAAGGTGAGGGCTACAGTCTGAGCTGTCCAAAGTTCAATGAACCAAAGCTAGATTGGGAGCTAAAAGAGAAACACCAATGAAACCATAATGGTCTTAAACATAACTATTTGGAAGAAGGGTTAAAAAAAAAGGAACATTTAAAGCAATCTGTTATTAAATGTTATTTGGCTACTTCAAATAGGATCAGTGGTAGAAAAAAAAACTTGCAAAAACGGCTGCTTTAAAAACAAAAACAAAAACCCTTCTATCTCCCCAAATAGATTCTATTTCTAAATGGGAAGGTTGTAAAATCTTCCAAGTTGTTTCATTTTATTACATTCTTATGCTCGTGAATTTCTATTGACGTTGATGATTCTGTTTGAGAAAATCTTATTTCTAAATTTCAGCATAATTTGATGACCTAATTCAGCCCAAGATAGCTCACAAATAATCAACTTTTTGCACATAATTATCTTGAACTAAATAGACATTAACTCCACTTAGTTGCAAAACACATTTTACTACAATCCAAATAAGCAATTAAGATCTAATTTTTGAAAATAAAATATTTTTACAAATTTATTAAATAATTTAAGTAATTTTATCTTTTCAATGAGGGTTTCCTCTTGACATATTGAGGTATCACATTAAAATACATTATAGCTAAATGTTCCGCAATATTACCGCTAAATCAACAGAAAACCAATTGATCTCGAGGAAAGGTTAATTAATTTGGGCTACTGGTCTCCTACTTTGGTCTGCATTGAAAGGAATTTGTATTGATCACAGAAATTTTTTGCAAAGAAACTTAATAAGCATTTTTGTGCAACTGAGATCAATTTTTTAAAGTGTTAAAACAACAAGATTTTCTCCATTTTATCACTCCAGGAATTCTTTTCTGCTGTGCTCATTCGAATCTGTTAGACTCCTGAGAAAAGTCATATTTTTTTATACTTTCAGTGAAATCAGTCGAGTGCTCTAGGCTTCAGAAAATGAAAAAAAAAAGAAAGAAAATGAAAACAGAAGTTAAGAACTTTCGTAGGATTTTGTTTGTTTAATCCCTCTTCCATTAATAATTCTCACCAGCTTATTCTGCTATAAAGAGTTCACGAAGGGACAATGGGAATTACATTTTCTCTGTGACGTAAACACTGTAACAGCCATCCTGGAGGAAACAGGCCGGGCTGCCTTCCACTTGGGAACACTTCTAAGTTGTGTCGCTTCTGGTGAGCTTTCCCCCTCCCTGCGTTTAGTCGTCTTCTCTTTTTATCAATGTAAAAAATGTGTCAAGCCTGGAACAAGGTGAAAGTTAACATTTGACGTTCTCTGCCCCAGGACTGTATTCGCTCCCAAAACATTTTTCTTTCTTTTTTCCCCCCTACCAGTGCTCGGTGGCGGCGTGGTCGCTGGATCCGAGAGCCTCGGCAGCTCCGCACTAGGGTCTGCAGGAAGGTTTCGTCTCCCCCCCTCCCCCTCCCCCTCCGGGGACCCCGCCCCCATCTCGAGGGAAATTCCTAAATAGAGCAAGCCCCGTGCACCGCGGCCGAGCGGCCCGCATCCCCTCTCCGCCCTCCTCCGCCCGCTGAGCGTCCGAGGTGAAAAACTAAAATTCTTCGTCGACCCGGGGGGCGGGAAGGCTGCGCGCTCCCTGAGGGTCGTCCCGGCGGCCGTTTCCCTCCTGGCCGGGGGCGCGGCGCCCCAGCTCCGGGCGCCCCCGCGTTTGCGCGGCCGGTTTCCGAGGAAGGGATTACGCAGCGGGAGCCGCCGCCGCGGTACAGCGACGCCCGGCCTTTGTTGACTTTTGGGTCTCGGGAGCCACGGAAGATTTATTCGCTAGGGGGGAAGATGCCCAAACAATAAAGAACTAACTGCACCTGCCACCCCCAAGATGACCGCGGTCCTCCTCTGTCCCCCTGTTCCCGGCACCCGCCGGCCCGGGCCCCCCTCGGCGCGCATCCTAAGGCGCGGGGCGCAGGTCCCCGGGGCGCGGCGAACGCGCGCAAGGTGCTCGGAGGCTTCGCTGCCCACAGGCGGCGGGAAAGCGCGTGGGAAGCCCCAGCTCCGCGCGTCCCCACCGCTCCGGCTGCCCAGGCAGGCTTCCAGGGCGGCCTCCGCCAGCAGCCCGCGGCGCCTCGCCCCCCACCAGCCCAGAAAAAGTCTCTGCCAAGGGAGAGAGGGAGAGAGAGAGAGACCTGGGGCCGGTTTCAGCCTGGTGGGTGAGGGCAAGACTTGGATGTTGCTAATATGTTAGAGACGGAGGGACCGTCTCTAACACCGAGGGGGACGCGCGAAGAGTCAGACGAGCTAGATTCGGGGAGGCTGGTAAAATGCCTCGGCCCCAACTCACGACCTTAGTGACATTTGGAATTCGAATTTGCCAACATTTGTTTGCCCGCTATACAAACATAAATAACTTTTGAGTTTGAAAGTGTTTCCCTCTCTTTGGGACTTTAATGTCCTTCCAAAGGGCCTCCAAATTAGATTTTTAAATTATTCAAACCAGTCATTTCCCTCTCCTCCTTTCATTAGCTGAAGTGCGGGGGGAGGGATGGGATTTCTGGATTTTTCTCAAGTGCTACATGCCACCCCTTCTCTCATCTGGGGAGGCAATTACGCGATAATTAAGGGACTCACACAGCTCTTTTTATCTTGTCCGCAGTGTGGAGTGGGGCGATCAAAGTAAAGACTGTCCAAGTTCAAGCCCTGGCGAGGATGGAGTTCATACACAAGGGCTCAGGCAGGCTGGCCTCTGCTTGGGCTGGTGTTGTTATTGTTGATGTCAATCCGAACAAGACTTACAAAGAAATAGGTGGACTGGAAAGTGAGCCTACTATCAAAGGAGATTAATGATTTTGTGATCTCAAGCAACTGTAGGGGTGTGAAGTTGCATTTAAAAGCTTCTTAGAAGGCAAACAAATCATCAGCTTTAAGTTCTCAGGAATTATATTTTTAGAAACAGTATTTTTAAAAGTGGCTTCACAAAATACAAAACAGCAGCTACCCCGAAATGTCCTGGTGGCACAAAGCTTCCCCTGCAGGAGTGATTTAACTCGACTCTCCCTGGCCCCCTCCAAAGCTACCGTGATGGTTAAGTTTTGTTTCTCTTTTAGTGAAAAAAAAAAAAAAAAGAGTTCAGGATTCTCTATTGCAGACAACTTAATTTTATCAGCCACATCTGATATTTTATTCTCACCAGAAAACTTCTCAGATAAAGGAAAATTATACATTGGGGAAGGAGGAAATGTAGTTATATTAATGAATTTGATTTCATTGTGGACAGACTCAAAGGAAACAGAGAGGGCTTAAGCTCATGTCAAAAGTTAAACATTACTGGGAATAAATAATCTTTAAAAACCTCAATTCTTGGGATATTAAATCAATTTATATACGCACTGTTATTGAATTTCTTTGACTTTTTTACTATCTTCACACTCATATAATAAACATAATACAATTTTGTTTTAGGTCATCTTCCTTTTTGTCATTTATATTCAGTATTGGACTTTGGAAAATACCATATTCAGAATACTTACTTTGGATTTAATTGAGGAAAATAACAGAAATACTTTTTTGTTAACATTTGATTTATTTAAAGTCCTTAACTGCAAATGATCAAGAACATATTCCACGGCTTAAAATTTATCATTTTCGTTATTTAAATCAAAATATTTTAATTACAATCACATTGATAAAATTAACATTTTTAATTTGTAATTTTAACCATCATTTAAAGCAATTTCAACTATAAAGAAAAAGAAGGAATAAACCATGCAATAAATTAACATTGAGAAAGCAAAAAAGAATAATGAAACCCGTCTGGCTATACTAACACCATGTCCAACTGTGAAAAGTGCATTAACACTGAATGAAACAAGCACACGATGGCAATAATTAAAATGGCCACAATCAGTTAGATTTTGGAATCTTGGACCAAATTTTGAAATACCGCTCCCTATAACTTATCTCTCCTCCAACATTGTAATATTCCCTTTTTCCTGGAAAAAAATATTATTTAAATGGTATAGATACATAGAAGCTAATTTTATACATGTTATTATGACCTCAAAATGACATGACAATGGCACTCTGCAAAGCAAGGAGCAGAGTTATTGAGGATGGCAATTCTTGAGGAATTGATTCTCAGGGCTATACTTGGGTGGAGAGGACAAGGGAGGAGGGTGTCTTTGTAACTTCTTGGTCAGGCAACTCTTGAAAATGTAGCATGTGTATCACCTACCTATTACTTCTATATGTTATGCAAATATACGGAGGATGTCTACAGATTTGAGCATGTGCATAAATGAGTTGGTACATAATATATATGTGTTTCATTTTAAGACATCTGCTATTTGAATGTATCAGAAATGTAAGCTGAACAACAAATGGCTCTGATGTTTATAGTTTGTTTTGCTGCATAAGAGCAGTATTGTCCTTCAAATATTTTTTAATAGCCCCTAGCGTCTACTTGTTTCTTCACCCTTTCAGTTCTTATGGTTAAGAGTATTGCCATAGACCTGTAAACTTGTGGAGGGTCAGGCGAGGAGGGGGTGGGGTGGGGGTGGGGAAGCACAAACAAATATTTTACAAGTTTGACCGTCTTTCTTTCTTTTTTTTTTCTTTTTTTAAATAAACCCTGCCCAGACTAGAATGTGTCTGGAGGAGAAAGAGGGAAGAAAGGGAGAGGAATAAGGATAGTAGAAGGATTTTATATATACATTTGTGGATTGTTAAACTTTGCAGGGAAAAATTTTGTTGGTTTGGGATTGGTTTTCTTTGTAATAATATACACAAGGCATTTTGAATACAATAACAAAGTAACAGTCCTTTGCACTGGGGAAAAGATTGTGCACACACACACACACACACAAAATGAAATAAAAACAGTTGGGATTTTCTTATGCTGTTGTCAGCTTGGTATGTGTGGTTTTGTTTGTTGTTGATTTCTCTCTCTCTCTCTCTCTCTCTCTCTCGCTCTCTCTCTCTCTCGCTCTCTCTCCCGCTCTCGCTCTCGCTCTCTCTCGCTCTCTCTGTCTCTCTTGCTACCAGCATGGCCATGCCAGACAGACCCCCAGTCCCACGGAGCTAGGAAGTGTTTAAGACGGGTCTGGAATACACACCTTGGTAGTAGGCCGGCTCCAGGGCTGAGGGCTCGATGGGGCTCCTGGTGGCCACCGAGGCGCTGCCGAGGGGCAGGCTGGCGGGCAACGCAGCGCCGTAGGGCGAGTACTGTAGTGCCTGCTCATAGGCCTTGAAGTCCAGCTTGTGCTGCTGCTCCGAGGAGGACATGAGGTTGTTGATGGAGAAGGGGTGGTTGAAAGAGTAATGGGGGTCCCCTTTCAGGTGCAGCTGGGACTCGTGGGGTGCCAGGCCATGCGCCGGGTGGGAGGGGGGCACGGACACCAGTGCCCCGGGCCCGGAGCTGATCGGGGGCGCCGCCGAGGAGGGTGGAGTCTTCAACTCCGAGGCGCCCCCTGTCGCCGTGGCCCCGCCGTGGTCCAGAGTCTGGGGGCTGGCGGCGGGCCCGGGGCCCGGCGCGCCCTCTAGCTGGCCCGCCTTGCCGTGCACGCCGCGGTGGAGGGGCGAGTTGGCGCTGGGGTTGGCGGCGCTCGAGGGGTCCTTGCGGCTCTCGGGGCCGCCCTTGGCTCCGCCGCCGCCGCCGCCGCCGCCCCCGCTTCCGCCCCCGGCCCCCGGCTGCTTCTCGCACTTGAAGCGCTTCTGGCGGCGCAAGTAACAGCCGTTCTCAAACATGTTGCCGGAGTCCGGGTGCAGCGTCCAGTAGGAGCCCTTGCCCGGCTTGTCCGGCGAGCGCGCCACTTTGACGAAGCAGTCGTTGAAGGAGAGCGAGTGCCGAATGGAGTTCTGCCAGCGTTGCTGATTCTGCCGGTAATAGGGGAAGAGGTCCATGATCCACTGGTAGATCTCGCTCAGCGTGAGCATCTTGCTGGGCGCCTGCTGGATGGCCATGGTGATGAGCGAGATGTACGAGTAGGGCGGCTTGGCGTGCGGGTAGCTGCGCTTGAAAGTCTTGGCGTCGCCGCCGCCGCCCGCCCGGCTGCGGCCCAGGTTGGACGGCGCGTACCCCATGGGGCTCATGCACGGGTTCATGGCAGCCGCGTAGGGGCCCAGGCCGTTCATGGAGGCCGCGGGCTGCGCGCCCATGGCGCCCATGCCGCCGGGGCTCAGCGCCGTGCCCATGGCCGTCACGCCCGCCGCCGTCATGCTGTTCATGGAGCCCGCGGAGCCGCCCGGCATGCCCGCCACGGCGCCCGGACTCAGGCCGGCGCCCAGGCCCGGGTTTGCGTAGGACATGTTGAAGGAAGCCGGCGTCATGTTGCCGCTGGTGGTCATGGTGTTCATGGTCATGTAGGTGTTCATGGAGTTCATAGAGCCCAGGCCCGAGTTCATGTTGCTGACCGGGACGGAGGAGTAGGCCTGCGGCGGAGACAGCGAGCGGAGAGGCCCCGAAGGGCGGGGTTAGTAGTGGCAGCGGGCGGCCCGCGGCCGGGGGCAAACCCGGGGCCGGGCCCCAGCAGTGCTGCGAAGCACGGGGCCCCCCACCCGGGGCAAACCGTCAGGCGCCCTCCCCAGAACCAGCGGAGCAATGGCCTGCGCAGCGGGGGGAAAATCTTATCGCGGCAGGCATGAAAGACGAGCGCTCACTGAAAATATGTCCCCAGGAAGATGTGTAATCGCCTTACATGCCAGGCCCAGGGGCTGACTTGTAGGGCCCCTCCGACGCCTTCTGCATCCACGCCGGTTGGGATCCCAGTCTCCACCCCTGACGGGCCTCAGCAAAGCCCTTTTGTTAAAAGGAGTTAAACTCCGAAAATACAATCATTCCCTGACTCCGCTTATTCACCCCCACCGTAACGGGTGCGTTGGGTTGGGCGGGACAGGCCCCCCCCCCGCCCCCGGGGGTGGGCCATGGAACACCAGCGCTGCGCCTGTTTCGCCTACGCCGGCTAGGCCCGGCTGACCACACAGTAGCCTCGGCCGTGCGGGGAGGCTGCTACATACAACTAATCTCCCTGATAGAACTAATCATTCATGGCCATATGACCATCCATTTTTCAGCATCTGGCTTTACCGCCTTAGCAGGTTTCCCCAAATGGTGACTTTTCGCTATTAATACGTTTAGGAGGCCTGTTTTCCATCTACTTGTGGCGACTGTACTATTAAACGGGAAAGAAACTCAGAAGTTAAATAAGTTTTGGGAAAAGATTAAAAAGAGAACTACAAGAGGAGAAGGGGAAAGGAGCAGTGCATAAGAATATCCATGCACCACGCTTGACTTTCACATGACTTTACATGTACATCTCTTTAAGCCATTCAAAAAGTTGCACCAATTTCCTTATCTGTTTCCAGCCCTATAGCATTTGAGAATTTTGGTGACATAATTTGTCAAAACGGCGTATTTTGCATTCCGGTACTGATACGTTGCTGTGGATTATTTCAAAGCTTGGCTTTAAAATCCCACTTTAAACATATAAAATCAAAGTCTATTTTCCCTTAACGCTATTCTATTTCCCACTTCTCAGCTTTAACCTGTAAAGAAGTTCTTTCCATAGGGAACTTCATTAACTAGCAGGCTGAGATGTCTGCGTCCGAATTAAACCCCGAAGAAGAGTTCTGAGCTCTTTTTTTTTAAATTATCAGTAGGAGAAAAACCTTATCAATAGCAATTTGGGAATGCACTATAGATGTTAAAAAAAATAGAGTCCAGAAACATGAAAACTTCTCTGATAATTTAATAAAAATAATATCCTTAAAATATTTTCAACAGCAAATACAATTTCATTTGAAAACATAAAAGGTGTATAAATTTAACTAGGCACAGGCTGCTATGGTATCCAAATAAACGTAAGGTAAGTTTGTGAGTATATAAATATACAAGTCTAAATAAATTAATTACCATAAAAAATATCTACTGATTCTATATTTTTCTGTCCATGTCTTTAAGTAATTTTTACTTTCGCTTTACTTTTTTTTTTTTTTTGGTCTTTTCCTTTCCCCAGGATTATCGAAGGCCGTTTCAATAAGCGTTTTTAATAACGGTGAACTTTTGGCGGGTGATCTCCAGCTGTTTCTAGAGAAATACTTTTAGTAGGTGGTGGTCCTGCCTGTACCTGGTTTTCCTCACAATCCCTTTGTGCACATTGTAAAATAAACCACACGAACGTGCCACCAAGGGGACAATGAAGAGAAACAGGTTCTCCGTTCGAGGTGCTGGAGGCAGAGTCAGTTCGCACCAGCGCCACCCAGCGGTTCTAGGATAGAACGAGCACACTTCTCCCCAAACCGGGCTTTTAAAGAAGTTTTATCAAATTTCGGACCGATCCATTATTAAGACGCTCAACTTAACGGCATCGCGCTTTCATCCGAAGACATCTGCGAATTCAGCCGTGGGAGGAAGAGACCGCCCTGCTGGAGAACTCTTGTCTTTTCTAGAACCAGAGTTCCCTCCAACTCTTGGCGGCGCCCGCCCGCCAACCCGCGGCACCCCGGGCCTGGTTCCGGCTCCCGCTCTCCGCAGGGAAGAGGCGAGCGCTTTCCGGAGCGGGTGCTTTCAGAGCCCCGAGTTTCCTAAAACCCCTCTGGCCGGCTCCAAACGTCGAGCGCCTGGACCCAGCCTTCCCCGCGGGGCAGCGGATCCGGCTCCGAGGCTCGGCCAAGGCCTGTCCCGGAGCGCATCGGGTGGGCGCGCAGCAACGGCACCGAGGAGGCGCCCCCGGCCCGCCAGCCGCCCACCCGGTCGGGCGCCGCCTCTCCGGGCCTCCTCCGGCTCGGGTTCCGGGAGCGTCCCGCCTGCTGCCCGCCTCTCACCTCCTGTGTGTCCGCGTAGTAGCTGTTCCAGTCGCTGCTCTCATGCCCTTCCATCTTCACAGTCCCTAACATCCTGGAGCCACCCTGCCCAAAGCAACCATCCAGCCCTGTGCGAAGCGACGGGCGGCCGCGCGGCGCAGGGCCGGGGGCGGGGAGCCGAGCCGCTGCAGTCACCCGAGCGCCCGCGCCAGCCCAACGCCACCCGGGCGAGGAGGAAGCCCGGCGCTGCGGGGCGCGGCGTGCGCGGCGGAGGCGGAGGCGGCGCGGCGGGCGGGGGCAGGCGGCGGCCGCGGAGCGCGGCGCCCGGGAGCGCCTCCGCGGGAAGTGAGCGGGCGGCCTCTGCGAGAGGAGTGCAGTTGAGCTGATGTGGATCTTACGTCGCTCGAGTGCCCACCTCCTCGTCCTCTCCCCATTTGTCCGCCGCACAAAGACGCTCGCACCTACAAAGCCCGAGGTGCACCTGCGAGGCGGCCGCCCGCCAGTCCAGCCGCCGCGCCTCCCGCCCAGCCGCGCTGCCGCCGCGCGCCCCCTGCGCCCCCTCCCGCCGCGCCCCCTCCCTCAAACCCGGCCCTCACTTTGTTTGCAAAGCAGCGTAATTGGTTTAAGCCCGGAGCCTGGGGGAAGAGGGAAATGGGATGGGAGGGGGTAACCCCCTTTGGAAAAGGAAAAAAGAAAAATAGGCGGGGCCGAGCTAGCTAACGAGGGTTCTGGATAGGAATCACGCAGCCGGAGACGCGGTGGGGGCGGTGGCGCTGGAGCCCCGGCTGGCGGAGCCGTGCCAGCTAAATGACCCCAGGGCCCCTCCCCAGGGGGACCCACCGTCTTCCGGGGGCCGCCGACTGCAGCCCCTTCCCGTGCCCCTCCTGCTCTTCTGTCGGCTTCCAGCCCCCACTGTACTCATTACAGACCCAAAGTTCAACCCCGGGAGATTGGAGAATACAGACCATCCCCCTCCCCCGACTTCAGGCTTGAAAAAAGGAGAAAGCCCCAATTTTGCCCTTTCACTAGAAACTCGGCCATCTGAGTCAACCTAGCCGAGTGACGTTAGGCCTATCTGGGCTCCTGGCTAGCAGAGTGGAGACGCTGCCACGAAACCCGTACCTGCGGCTAAGAGCAGGTGAGTCACAGCACCGTTTTATATCTTTATGACATAACTTTTTTTTTTCCGCCTCGGTCCGCTCTACTTCCCTTGTCATCTGTAGCGATCATAAAGAGGAAGAGACTGAGAACAGATGTCTGTGTGATAGGGCAGGCGCACCCGAGTCGGGCGCTCCTCCTCTGCCCAGCTCCTCCTCCTGCCCCCCTTTCGCAGCCCCGGGGACTGAGCTGGTGGCGACCGTCTGGTTTCCGATAGGGAAAGGTCAGGGGGAGGGGACAGCTCCCTAAACGCGCGCGTTAACTGGGAGAGCAGGAACAGAGGCGCGGGAATGCATCTGCTCGGGTAGAGAGGTGCCAAGCTGAAGCCAGGGATGGTCGGGCGGCAGTGCCTGGTCCCCTTTCTCACCTGGAGGGGCCGGGCTAGCACCCTAGGCGCTTACTTGGTTCCTAATGGGTCCTGGACATTGGTGGGAAGTTCTCCCCAAAGCAAAGCCTCTTGGCTCCTATGAGGCCCTGGGTAGAAGATTGCCCACGGTCCTGGGGAGAAGGACCAACGAAAGTGATTGATGAGCACTGAGTTGGTGATAGGTTGTGGGATGATGGTGTGAGTGTTTCTGAATATGTCTCTGAATGTATGCGTGTATGTGAGCTTCTAAATGAGCGTGACTATGTCTGTTTCTAAGTACGTGGGTGACCATGTGTGTGTGCCCTACTCTAGGTAGAACCCACTAGTTTTCCTGAAGTAACGACAAAATAAAATCTTTCTAAAATGACGAAAAATCTGCAAAATATTCTTGTTTAGCAAAGTTTTAAGCGTGTTATTAATCTCATATTAAGAAATGTGTTTTAACTTGTCTTTCAGATACCTACCCCCCCCCCCGCACTTTGTTCTTTTAAATCTTTCTTCCTTGAAATCTGGCAACAGAATCACATTAAATCCTTGAACCAAACAAATCTCTTAAATCAGCAGGGGAGCCTGAGAGGGTGAAGATGTGCAGTTAAGGAAATAAAAAAGATAAAAGCATTGGATTACAATTCCTTTTTTTTTAACAAAAGGGAGGGGGAAATGTCACATTGTAAGGAATGGAATGAGAGTGAAATTAAATCCACCTGGAACTCAGAGCAGGTGCCCTCCCCAACTGCAGCCTGCCCCTGCAACTGCAGGTCCCATCAGTTTTGTAAATGTATCTGTAAATGTGTGGATCTGCACAGATTTCTCAGAGCCACCCTAAAACGAATTCTTTTGTGTAAAGTACCCATCAGCAGCAGGACCTTGGTTCCATTTGTAAAGTAAACGGATGCTTAGCTTCCTCGGCCTCATGGGGGGTGGGGGGGGGACTTTCAGTGCTGAGCTTCCTTGTTCCTTCCCGCGGTGATTCTCCAACGCCCTCTTGGCTCTTCAAAAACATCGAGAATGACTAGGGCATTTTCTATAGGTAGTGACAACTTAGTAATAGCTTTTATGGTACACAAAAAGCTAGTGCCTAAAGAGGGGAGCGCTGTCATTTTATAGGGGGTCAATGAAAAAATCAAATATTCTTTCACTTTTAGCCCACTTCCTAAACCTACTAGAGCTCATCTTTAAAAAAAAAAAAAAGTCAGCTTAAGAAAGAAAAAAAGAAAAAAACACTTGTAGACGGATGTCCAAAGTAAAGTTTTTTTTTCCCCTAGGGCTTCTTCAGAGCCCAAGACTAGTGGTGAAAAGTGGACTTTGCCAACTTCAGAGCCTTGATCCAGCCTGGGAGTTCCTGGGTCGCCGCCCGCCGAGAATTACTGGGCTCCTAGCAGCTCCCGGGGTGTGTGTGGGGAGGAAGGGAGGCGCCCCAATCCTCCCGCACGCGCCCCCAGCGAGCACGGTCAGGGGAGTCTGGAACTCCGGGCGCCTCCCCTGCCCGAGATTTCAGTTCACGGAGCCGACTGCCTGAGGCCAAGAGGGAAAGGTGGCAGCGGAGTTAGCTCCCAGCCTCTCCATCTCAGTGGCAATACTCCAAGACACCTAACACATTTAGGAAGTGAAGTTCTAGCGTCCTCAGATGCCAGCCAGTCAGCCAGTCACTTCTCAGAGTTTTAAAAGCGAATCATCGGGGTCGTGCCGGGTCTTCGATTTAGAAAATAAGCAGTAAACAAGCAAATAAATGAAACAGAGCTGCTGTCTCCGGGTAGCTGGCCCGTAGGCAGCCAGGTGACCTGCCTGGTGGCTGCAGTCTGCTCCTCCGTTAAGCAAACCTCTTCTCCCCAATAGGCCCCGTCTACGCTTCTCAGAAGGCTGTGCCCTGCTTTCCGGAGAAGTGGACCCGTCTCCAACCTCCGGGAGGCGCGCTGGGTGGACCTGCCCGTAGGGGCCACGAGGGCAGCCACGTGGCGTCTCCTGGGACGTCCCGCGCCAGACTCCCCGGGCCGGGATGGGTCTGTGCGAGCCCCGCGCGGCTCAGCAGAGGGAGGGCAGGCTCCCGGGGCCAGGGAGGCCGGAGCCGGCTGGAGGGGAGCCTGCGGGGGGAGTCCAGGTGGCCTCGGGCGGAGGAAGCGGCCCCGCCCTTCCCGGAAGCTGCGCCTTCTCCGCCTCTGGGGTCCGCTCCCGGCGCGGTCGGGCTGTGGGGGCGGGCGGCACGAGGCTCGCTGGCCAAACCGGGCCACCTCGTCTACCCTTTCCCAATATTACCTGCTTGGGAACCCCGTCCGCCGACCTTCACCTGGGCAAGGGAGGAACAGGGGGGGACTTGGGCGAGAGACAGCTGGCGCCTCGGGCCTTGGGCCCTGCGGGCTGCGGTGGCCGCGCCGGGGTCTTTCGCGTTTAGCAGGGCTGCGGGGTGGGCAGAGGGCGGAACCCGGGGGGGGGGCGGGCCGCTGTGGTGCCCCCTGGAGCCTCCCGAGGACTTCCCTCTCAGGTTTTCTCCAGTCCCCTGGCTCGTGCGACCTCCGTCCTCCCATGGGGCTGTGGCCAGGTCTCCCCCGGCGTGGGCCCAGCCACCCTCAGTGCAGGCGGGTCCCAGCTCCTCCTCTGCAGGCCTCCACCCGCAACCCAGATGAGATGCTGAAATCTGCCTGCGGGGGGGCGGGAGGGGGGGAATCAGATGCTGTGAAACTGAGACCTGTTGTCTTTCACGTGGTTCAAAGCGGATCTGGACTGGGACCCGGGTGGGTTTAGGACTGGGGAAGGCCTGGGACGCTGAAAGCAACTCTTTGCACCTGCGGGGACTGGCCTCGCCAACCGGGTGTGGGTCCGAGCGGGGGAGGGGGCCGGGCGCCGCGGGAGGGCGGGAGCCCAAGACCCGAGGAGCGCTCGGCCGCCAGTCTGAGGCGCAGGGGCCAGGAGAAGCACCGAGTTCCTGTTCCTTCACGGCCTCTCTTCCTTCACTTTTCTTTGTTTCCTCGTACCCTCCTTTCTCTGCCCTTCCTTCTATCCTTGTATTAATCAAGAAATTAATTCACAACTCGCAAGGCGTCCGACCCTCAGTAGGTAGGGGCCCTGGCCCCGGGACCACCTAGCCGGCCTCATCCAACAGTTTCGTGCAGAGAAATCTCAGGATCCTGGGTGTTTGTACTGGAAAAAATCTAATGAAACATTTTAATCCCAATACTTTATCTCTGGGTTTGTCCTTTCCCTTCACTGCGCCTGGAGCCGCCGCGGGGTTTCCGAGCGGCCTGGGGCGCGGGCCTCCCTGGCCGGCAGCCGGATGTCGGAGCCGGAGCTGCTCCCTACCCAGCCTTGCCCGCGGGCGACAAAACCGTCTCTCTGGCCTTAAACTAGCATTGCCCTGCCAAAATCAACTCGCATTTTCATGTATTCAAATGAGAAAGATTGGGAAGGACGACTAGCCCTCTTGGGCAATCCCTAGCCTTGGAGGGAATAAGTGTCCCATTGGTGCCCGCAGAGAATGGGAACCTCCCTTCCTCGAGGCCTGGGTAGCACACGTGGCACCCCCCCCCCCCCCCCCGCCCAGGCCGGGTCCCCAGGCAGTCGCACATCTCTAGGCAGCTGTGTTCGAGTTACTGACTGCTTTATTCACACTTTCCTATCACACTTTCCTCTAACTACTTAAAAACTGGTAGGGCTGGGGTCCTGGAAGAGGACCTGGAAATGCACGCTACAGATACAGAGTTGGAAAATTAGGGAGAAGCATAACAAATTTTAGGTCTGAGAGCAGGGAGGGACTACAGTGGTTGAGGCCCTACTCTGTGCCACAGACTAGACTGGTGTTTTGAGATCCTGGCATTTCCCCCACCTGCCACTCCAGGTGTGCAAGAGCTGGGAGTCTGAAAGCCTGGGAACTTGACTCCACCCCACCCGCATAAGCTGGGGCTGATAGGGAGCCAGTGATGGAAACCCACAACCTCAGAGCACTCTTAGATGTCATCTCTCTCCTGGAGGCTGCCACCTTGAACCTAGATCCTTCCCCGATGGTGAATGAGTATTTAGCTCGTCATTCCCTGAACTCTATCCCCCCAGTAAACCCATCTCTCT